ATTGCGAGTTTGGCAGCGATCATTGAAGTTCGCTTCTCTGTATTTCGCTGTACGATGATGGTGATGATTTTCACGACGCCGTCATCTAGCTTGTGGCTGTTTAGCAGGAGCCAGGTGACGGGCCTAAACCCAACACACCCTAGTAGTGCCGCCGCTGTTTGTTCTCTACTGCTTATTTGTTGCTATATACCACAAATTATTCACAGCTAACCTTTTTCGGTGAAGGTATTCCCTCATCAGCAATCTGGGGACGCTCCTGGTAACTTTCAGCTCCGATTGACCTAAGGGTGCCCGGGAGCATGGTAGATTCCGGTGAATTTCGAGGAAAATCCGCCAGAATTGACAGCGTTTGTGCTGATTGTTGAATTGCACGGGCCTCTGTAAGCAGGGCGAGGGATTCAGGTGTGTAAAAATCAGTCGGGGGTTTCGTTGCTTAGCATACACGGTTCAAAAATGCAGTCGGAGTCCATGCAAGATATGGTTGTGATTAGATTAAAAAGTTGAGCATCAACTTTGTTTCTACCTTTCAGGACTATTTATTAGGTTATTGTCTTCTACAAAACATCCTGAGTCAGCAATCATGCCTACTGTTGTTATCGATCGGGGCACTTGTAAATACTACGCCGACCGTGCTCAACATTTGGATAAAATTACCTCTGAGGAGGAACGAGGTGAGTGTTCATCTGCTGATACCAACATCGAAAACAAGCCTCTTTCATTTTTCAGACACTTTTAGCTTTTCAGAAGGATGGCTGGAGGGTTGCATTAAGTCCTGTCGTGTGCCGAAGCCTGGAGAAAATGATCGGAGAGTCGGATATCGATGGTTTAGTGATCATACTGAAATGTCTATCCAAGGGCTGGGATGGTGCAATCATGAGCAAATTCTGTCGTCACGTCCTTCATAAAACATGGAGGCGCTGTCAGAACTCACCTTTTTGTGACGAACCACTTGTTCAAGATTTTGCGTCTACCTTTATCGATCATGTAGCATCCAATTTTGATCGCTATTTGAACCACTCACATGCACAACACACATTGAGGCTCTATCTGCAACTGTTAGCCGGTGTGCAAATAGAAAAAGAAACCCTGACAAGTTTGTCCGGTTTTTCATAACCTGCTTATCTACCAAAAAGACACATTTGATATAGAGAACGTCCAAATGTGTACACCCTTTGATCAGAATTATGTTGAGAAGCTTGATGATTTGGCGCAGCGTTTCCTCCTGGTTGGGGATCTTCATGGTTGGTGAATGTTTTCTTGTATAAAGTTCGAGCAATTGGTTTTCAGAGTATGCACGAAATGAGTTAATATCTCCTTTTGTTCAGCTACTATTGATCATCATTGCATCACGAAATCATCCCCTTTTCAAGAGTAATCTCGAGACTGTCATGGCTAACGCCAATATTTTTGCATATTCGAAGAATCAGCTGTAAGTATGGTGGCTTCTTATATTAGTCCACAGTGGGCGTTTTGCTGATCTTCGCATGAGGCGGTGCTGTCCAATGTTTATCCTTTGATATTTGATTCCTGTCACATCGAAGCCTACAAGCCCGATAAGGTTCGTTTTTTACACTGGGAGAGTGCGAAAGAATTCAGTGTAAAAGCAAGCATCGCACTGCCTGTTTAAATCGTGCTTTGTCGCATTATTTGAGCTGTGAAAACCGTGCACAACAAAAAGAGTATTTTGGAAGTTCATTCTGATTGCAGTTACGGTATCCTCAGAACAATACTTGATGTTTTTTATTTCTTCAGTCTACATGTCCAGCAATGAAATTTGAAAATGCAGCTCAACTGAAAGGTTAAATAATATTTAGATGAATAGGAGGCGCTTTGACCTCAATTGTTTTTTAGTTCATCGCTCATAGTAGAGGAGCTTAAATCCAAATTCATGTTTTCAAGTTAGTTTGTAAGTGCCATTGTTGAGCGAGATGATTTTTGTTGTCGTCCTTTGTGCGCCAAGCAGACCTGGAGGCCTTGAATCGCATTAACACCAACACCACCATCCGCGTTGGGTGTTGGACGAGTTCGCTGTCACTCAGTTCAGCATTACATCCATGGTTTACCACCTAAAGCTTAGATTGGCTGTGCGTGTAAATAAAAAGCAGATCCTTGAGACTGTGGGATTTGCTTGTTAATCATTCTGAATTGTGTAATGTGAATATATCGAACAATAAAATTCGCTTGAGATACTTCTGAATGCACATGGAATCGGTTCGTGTTCATCCTGTGTTTGTCTTCCTGCGGGTAGGGGTGTGAATGCAGCAGTTCTCCACCGATAAAAGTGTGGTTTATAAGGTAGTAAGGAACAATCACAAATAGCTCGACTACCAATTTGCCAACTGTTTTAAAAAGTGTTCTGTTTCCGAGATCATATATCAGGTCAATGAGCCCAAGTTCTCACACACATGTTTGTGTGTGTGCGTAGAGAGAGAGAGCTGTAAATGGCTTTACCTAATAAAATTCGATGACCAAAACAATTGTTCAGGTTGTTTATAATCCAACTTGGTGCGCCTAAGAGTTGTCCGTTTATCGCACGTGATTCTGTAAACGTATTGAAGGATGGCCCTTACTGTTTCAGCAGTTTAAAAAGTGGCATCCCTACAATAATTTGATTTTCGATCTTCATTAATGAGTACGATTGGAGCTTCTACTTCTGTGAGGCGCCATCAGAGTTAGAAGTATGAAGCCGCAAACAATCACAGGATGGCTTTTGTCAAGCCGAAGACCTAATCATACCTGGAAGGTCGAAGGGTAGAGGTCGGAAGAATTCCAGTCTCCTGATCGTCCAGGTTCGGGGTTTGACTAGAATTTGCATTTCATTCGGTAAAAATAGCGAGAGAGTAATTGATCTAAGTAAATAAACCTCCACTTCGCTTCACCCGCTGTCTTGCGGTCAGGTTCTTGTCAGAACTAAAGGCTTTGGTTGAGAACCCTAGTCGTTCTCCTGCTTAGTGGTTAGACACCCTAGCAATACCCGTCCATTAAACCTCAGTGCATATGCATTGCGAGTTTGGCAGCGATCATTGAAGTTCGCTTCTCTGTATTTCGCTGTACGATGATGATGATGGGTTAATCTGCATGAGTTATGAGGCGAAGCTCGTATTTGCCATCAATATATCCAGAGGCAAGTAAGCTTTCCTGTTGTTGTCTATTGAACTTATCCGAGGAGCTGCTTATTCTCATACACGTTTCAACAAATTCTCACGTTTAGCAGTTGTTTTTGATTCATTGTGTATTGATCTTACAGGTTTACTTTGTTTGACTCCATCCAATTGGGCTATTTCTACATTCTCACCTACTTTGTGTATATTGAACTGGACAGCGATCAGTAAATTTCATTGTACGATAATCATGGATGTCCCTACTTAGCGCTTATTCAAAGTATCACACTTGAATTTATCTGAATTTCGTTCCAGTCATTGGTTTAAGTTTCTATCAATAAGATCTGTTTTTGTTGGTGAAACCCTAGCCTTCCCGACGGATTTGTTCATCCAACGCTTGTTTATTTCACGGAGGTAGTGATACGTTTGATGCCGGGTAAGAATTTTGCCCGGTTTCTCAGCACGCATTTACTGCGCCCCATTCCGGACATAAACACCCGACTGCCGCCTGTATGTCTGATGCCGGCGCATTCAATCGCATATCGCGGTTTTCGTGCTGTGCTGAAACGAATTAAAAAGGCCAGTGACCTTCAGCAGTTGTTGTCAACTCTTAGTCAAATGAATGTGGATGATGACAGTCTGATGTCAAGCTTGAATGCCGCGGTAAAAGTACGACAGTTTGCAGTAATCAATGATCTGGCTAATCTGTGTGGGAAACCGGAATACACTGATCTACAAAAAATGTTCCTAAAAGTGAGTTCGCCCTACGTTATTGCGTTCTTTCGCTACTGTCTGTTAACTGAGTGCAAATTTTGTCGTTATTCCCGTGGCGTCAATCTTGCTGGAGATTATGCGAAAGCACGGTAGCAGTATTGAACTGATTTTCGAATAATCAAAGCCCAACTCACCATTACCGCATCAAGGGATTCCTATGAATTAGTGACCAGAATTAAAGACAAACGTAAACGGATTACACAAAATAATGTCCACTTTCACTCTTATTTAAGGTTACTCACATACGAGATTGCTCACACACCACGGAAAGGTATGCGGTCATCCATCGTATTGCAAAATCTAGCTGTTCTCAAAATTCTGAAAACCACGCACCTACGCAGTGTTCCATGCTTTACAGGTCACATCATCGCGATATACTTATCCAAACAGCTGGTTTTCCGTTAATCTCGTGTGGGTTTCATCAACTAAAGCCTCCCACTACCTTGACTGTGGATGCTGTCAGTTGGGCCCATGTGAATTCTCAGAACTCGGGTTGTATTGATTGTTTTCCTTCTACAGTTTGCGGGACGCAAATCGTCCCCCACAATCCTCTTCTGTATTACGCACTCTAATGTGATAAACAACAAGCGAACTGAAATCCGAATTCGCGAATATCCGCAGTTTGATAAGCGTAACGAGCAATTTTAGACCCGCGGCTTAATGAAAAGAACCACACGAGGCTTCAATACATGTATTATTGAATTATACTATTGAAGGTGTCTGCTACCAAAGTTATGTGACTTTGGCAGCTTCGTCTGGTACTGTCCAAACGCAACTACTTAACCCGCTCATTCTCTGTTGTCCATCTGTTCGACGGATTGATTGAAAATAGTTGTCTGAATCCTTTAGTATTTTATCTTCTTCCTTATTTCGCTGTTAACAGAATGCCGTAACTTTATAGATGAAGCGAAGTATTAGTCCAACCAAAACAGTTTGTATTCACTTGTTTTTCCATCCTCTGCGCTGTTTATTCTTGTTTGCAGCATTTTGAACTTTTTTAATCGCACAAATGATTTACGATATCGTTCGGTACTTTGGTTCACATCTTTCCGAAAGATTCTGTTTCCGGCTTTTGGTTTTCCGAGTTCCAAACCAAAACATTCAAGTTCAGAGGATAAGCTGATTTGGTCCATTTTGTGTATGATGTCAAGCGCCGATCTGCCCCAAAAGACGGATGGCTCCGCCAGCGAATTGGACATGCTCGTCGAAGCGGTTTGTTTACCCGGCTGCTTACTAGCACAAACCTTGCTCAGGTACTCGGAAGCACGCCCAAAGAGATTGACTGCTAGTCTGTGCGCTCAGTCAGCCGACCAGCTGCACATCTGGGCGCAACATCCAATGCTATCTCGGGTACTGGAAGTTTTCTTTCAATCACCGGTGGTTTCCGTAGAGAGAAAATCCCACCTCATGACCATCTTTCAGGTCAGTGACCTAACATTGATACCGGATTGATGGATATATACAGTGCGATTGCTCCATCCTTCGCCGTCTCGTATCTCTCACCTGTGACCTTACACAAGTGAATTCCCTCTGACCCTTTCTGTGATCTGGTTGGATCATACTCCGCGATCTGCGGCACTTGGAATCCCTCACCCTAACACGAGACTGTCTGATTACCGGCTTGTACGTTTTGTAATGCTCTTGTTTTTACGGCCAGTCCATCCGTGTGCTGATGGCACTCCTGCTGCACAGTCAAAGTTCACTGGGCCTGCCTGAGACTCACGGCTGTAAACAAGGTGTGGTTTACGGCCGTGAGTCTCAGGCAGGCCCAGTGAACTTTGACTG